GTCAAGGTGCCCCGCCACTACGACGACCCGGGCAAAGGGAACTACTGGATGCTGGACCCCTCCAGCGACGACGTCTTCATCGGGGGCACCACCGGCAAGCTCCGCCGGCGCTCCACCACCTCGCGGGCCAAGCTGGCCTTCAAGCGGGGCGCCCGGCTCACCTCCACCGGACTGACATTCATGGATAGGGCAGGATCCTTGTACTGGCCTATGTCCCCCTTCCTCTCCCTGCACCACCCCCGGGCCAGCAGCACTTTGAGTTACAATGGGACCACGTCCGCCTACCCCAGCCACCCCATGCCCTACAGCTCAGTGTTGACTCAAAACTCCTTGGGAAACAACCACTCCTTTTCCACGTCTAATGGGTTAAGTGTTGATAGACTAGTCAATGGAGAGATACCTTATGCCACTCATCACCTCACAGCAGCAGCTCTGGCCGCCTCAGTGCCGTGTGGCTTGTCAGTTCCCTGCTCCGGCACCTATTCCCTAAACCCCTGCTCTGTAAACCTCCTAGCAGGACAGACGAGTTACTTTTTCCCCCATGTTCCTCACCCTTCAATGACTTCTCAAAGCAGCACTTCAATGACGGCCAGGGCAGCCTCCTCCTCCACGTCGCCACAGGCGCCCTCCACTCTCCCCTGTGAGTCCTTAAGACCTTCTTTGCCAAGTTTTACAACGGGACTTTCCGGAGGACTTTCTGATTATTTCACACATCAAAATCAGGGGTCTTCTTCAAACCCTTTAATACATTAACATCCATGGGATCAGACTGTAAGTGAACATTTTACACACATTTGCATTGTAAATGATAATTAAAAGAAAAAAAAAGCAAAACAAAAAAGTCCAGGTATTTTTTATTAAGTTCCCCCATTTTCTGTACGTTTGTTCAGTCTTTAGGGTTGTTTATTATTCCACCAAGGTGAGGAGTGTCAGCAAGGTGCAATGTGGGGAGATTACATTGTAGACTATGAAGTTTGGAAGACAAAATTATAGTAGAATGTGTATCTAAATAGTGACTGCTTTTGCAATTTTTTATTCAAATACGATAAGTCTATCACTAAAAGCCGCCAGATTCTCCATGTTTGCAGTATTATAAGTTATCGTGGATATGTCGGTGGGTGCAGACCTCGAAAGAAAAAAAAAAACCACCACTAAATTTATGAAAACTATAAAAAACCTAAAACGTAATTTGTATTTAAGCAGAGTTAATGCTGAAAGATGCCCAAGAACTACATTTTGGCCATTTATTATTTTCTTTACTGAACTGCTTTTTTTGGGTTCCTTTTTTTTTTTGTTTGTTTGTTTGTTTGTTTACTTTTAGACCAAAGATTGGGTTTTAGAAAATGCACTCAGTGTACGGAGTAATTTAAAAAACAGCAACATTATTTCAGTTTGCAGCACTGCCCGTTCAAATGAATCAGAAGGGGACAAAATTAATGATTGCCTTCAGTTTGTGTTGTGTATATTTTGATGTATGTGGTCACTAACAGGTCACCTTTATTTTTTTTCTAAATGTAGTGAAATGTTAATACCTATTGTACTTATAGGTAAACCTTGCAAATATGTAACCTGTGTTGCGCAAATGCCGCATAAATTTGAGTGATTGTTAATGTCGTCTTAAAATTTCTTGATTGTGATACTGTGGTCATATGCCCGTGTTTGTCACTTACAAAAATGTTTACTATGAACACACAGAAATAAAAAAAATAGGCTAAATTCATATATACTTGATAGTTTTTTTGTCTCTTTTATTAACTAAAATTAATATGCCAGAGGCTTTAAAGTTACAGGGAGATCAGAGCGCTGCTTATTACAGCAGTCCACCATTTTTCACATGCTCCTTTCCTCCCCCCCTCTTTAACAGCAGTATTTTCAAATGCAAAGGAGCAGGGTGTTTAATTAAACACCACGGCCACCGTTGTGATGTCCGTTTTTGGGGCAGAACTCTTATCAAGTCTGCTTAAAATTGTTAGTACGAGGTAGGGTGTCTTACTAAAAACTGTCTTACGTTGAAGATGCTTAGAATTGCGTACGTATATACATATATATACACACACATATAAATTTAGGTATATATGCACACATTAGGAAAAAAATAAGGCGCATTATTGCATAGATACGTGTTGTTCTTGCAATCTCTGAAATGCATTTGAAGAATTCTTCTTCTGAAAGATATTAATTTCGACTCTGATAACTGGAGATCTATTAACTACGGATGTGTATGTGTGTGTATATACATATACATATTAGCTTCCATATAATCACTTGATGAAATTTAGCAAGCTATGATACGTGTGTGTATAAAATGTAACCCTTGTCTTAAAGGAACACTGTTCCGGAAGTATCTATACTAGATGTATTTCTATACTTTTAATGCTGCAAACACTTTGGCTTCAGAGACTGTAAAAGTGGCGATAGTTTTTTCAGCTAGAACCTCTCTCCTCTGCCCCCTTCGCCCTCCGGACAGGGAAGGAGCCCAGCAGGGGCGAGGTGAAGTTGCAGGACATTGCAGTGAGGCAGAGGGCTGGAGGGGTCACGTGACGCCCTGGCTTGCATACCGATGTTGAAATGTTTTAGGGAAAAAAAAAACCCAAACCTGTGTGGATGCGCTTCAATTTAAAGTTTTGAAACGGACTTCTTTTTCGCTATCCGTCTGCCGATGGCAGTGCTTGCTGCAGCCCACCAACCCACGCTAGCCTCCATAAGTGTGCTCCGTTGCCCGGAGAATCAATCCATTAGTTTTAAGGGGGCAACGCTACCACTAATTTTAAGAAGCATTTAATCCTAAAAAGAATTGGTTTCTTGATGAGTTTAGGAAAGCCTATAAAAGCCGCAACTCTTGAAAATAATTAGAAAACTTGTGCAAAAGGTTTAGGAACTAATTGGATCCCGCGGTGAGTCCGCAGAGGACAAGTTGTTCATTTGTTACGTCTGTGTAGTCTAAACTGGGCTCTGCAGCAGTGCAATAAGCCGGCGACTGCTCACAATAGGCCCAATGAAAAATAATCCCCAGCTCGGAGATGTTATCGCAAACTCTTTAAAGAACTGATCTTAGAAAGACAGAAAAGAAGAAGAAGAAGAAAAAGGGAGAAAAATGCCGGGGGGTGAATAAAGAAGCAATAGCAAATCTGAATTCTTGCAAACGGAATATTTGTCATGCTGAAAGAATAAGGGGAGGGAGGGGAAATCTTCCGAAAATAAGCAATGAGTAAACAGATGCAAGCAGATCTGCAGGAAAGAGAGAGGAGTGAAAGGTTACTGATGAGAGATGGGACACCCAGCTCTGCACTATGTGGGGGAGAAGGAGAGAAATCTCTGATATTCTTGGCTTTCACTCTCACTTCTGCAATTCAAAATTAATCATCACTATGAGAAAAAGGTTGCTTTGTTTGGGAATGAAGAGATGATACCACCACTTGGAAGCGCCTACCCTCCCCCATATTCTTCACTCTATTGTCATTAAAAGAAGTGATCGCAAAAAACTAAGAAACAAAACTCCCTTGCAGCAAACCTATCGGAAATAATAAAATGAAATAGGTGTGATTTAAACTCTTGAAGCCTCGGGACCCCATTCTGTGAACTTGTGCCTAAGCAAATGAGAAGAATGGCATCTGCTGCAGCTGACAAAGGAAATTATTTATTATTTACCACTTGCAATTGGTTGCATACTGTAGGAAATCCAATAGCACATACTTAAAGTATTATTTAGTTCGCAATGTAGAAAAATCCGCTGACAGTGGAGGAGGAAAAAGACAAGTCAGGTTGGAGGAAAGCACAATCTCACCATGTCAGTTTGGGGTTGGCTAATAAGCATTAATTAGATAAGCGTGATGCATAATAATTCCTGAAAAGGGTAGCCCTGACGTATGTCTCTCCGGACACTTAAGCAAGCACTCGCTCTCAATGCTCTCCTTTAGGTTTAGTGTAGCAAAGTGCTGCCTAAGCAGTTCAGGTGCCACAGGCTTTTCCCTCTTTCTCGTACACTGGGGGAAGGGTTGGTTGTTGAACTGGTAATTTATTCACGTTTCCATAGGCATATCACCAGCAATGAGACTGTCTTTGTAAAGGGGGGAAAAAAAAAAAGCTAAAGTTGTCATGGGATTGTAGCAGGACTGCCAAGGCCCCAAATATGCCTTTACCTTTGCCTGCTCCCCGGCCAGAGAAAGCCTTTTGTTCGCTGAGGATGTCTTTTAGGCTAATCTTTGCGCAGGATCGTTCGGTACTGAATGTGAGGTGGTGCGTTTGGGCGGGTTTTTTTTTTTCTTTTTTCTTTTTTTTTTTTTTTTTTTTAAGCAGGTCTGCAATTCTGTTATCTGATATTTGTTTCCATGGTGTTTTACATGTCAAATCCTCAAGCTAAGCTTTTAGGATTTTTTTTTTTTAAATATGCACATTTCCAGAATGTTGCGGTGTCTTAGCGTCGCTTCTTTAGCGTTTCCTAATTTAGAGTGTTTATGGGGAACGGGTGGTCTTTATGGAATTAAGGAGCTATTGTTATTTTCCTAGTTGATGTTTGAGGTGATTAACTTTGCTCGCGTAGATTGTAGGAAAAGAAATCTGCTCATCAAGAAACCTCCAATTACGATTTTAAGATTGCCTTTGCAAACATGTTTGAGAGATAATAAACTGTAACTCGAATCCACAATGGGATATTTAGCCAACCAGTTTTTGACATATTTTAAATATTTTTCTTTTGTTTCGGTAAAATAGCATCCGTTATGTGGAATGCGTTCTTACGAAAGGGTTCGAAAGAAAGTGAACAATAATATATTTTGCCTTAAACGGCACAAAACTACTGTTTGGGGGAGTGATAATTTTTTAATCCGGTGCTTGAAAAAATAGTTTAACCAGGACGTCATTTTGCTCTTTATAACTTCTTCTGATGATTATTAAGATTTATGTCAGAAATTATGATTCAGGTACACACCCCCTCACCACTTGTGTTAATATGAGATCTCAATCACCACGTATTCACTGTTCACTCAAGCAAAACTCCCACTGAACTCCGGTGACGTTTTGACTGAACCACATCAGAGTTCTGCTTAAGAAAGAACATTGAGCAAGACTCACTGTTTTATTAGTGATTATATTCTTTAATTATTCATATTTTCCCTTAGGACGGGAAAAAAAAAAAAGGTCTGCCTGTAGATAGTCACTGCTATGTACTTAATTGCATAGTCGCGAATAATACACCCTCCCGAGAAAGGAAGGATATGCGCATACATATTGCACGACTACAAATTCAACGAATGGCAATAAATATGTATACGTACATGTAGCCACACACAACCCTACAGAGGGGTCTATCCATGCACTAGTGTCGGTAGTAGCTTCTCGGCAGTTTTGCGCACTGAAATGTTCTTGTTTTGAATACACCCCGCCCCGTGGTGAAGGTGCCTGGGTAAATGGGTCAAAAAGTGGTGGAGAACTGGGTTAGAAAGAGGTGAAGGTGAAGATCATTAGAGGTTTTAGGGCTGGCTGTGGCTGTTTTGCTGGGCTTGTGTGACTGTGCCCAGAGGGCGGAGTTCCTGCACATTCCTACCTCACCGGAGAACCTGCCCTCAACTCCACTGCAGCTACTCCAGAGAGATGGGACCCTCCAGAAGAAACCTGCCCGGCAATCCCAGCAAGCCTTCCCGCCAGAAGGGTAGGTGCACTTCAAGAAAACCTTCCCTACTTCTTCTCCCAACAGGCAGATCCATGTGATACGAATGAATAGCGATGAGAGACTTCTGTCTAAACGTACTGTTTCCCCCTGCCCCCTGATAAGCAGATCGCCCGTGCAACCGAAGCACAGTTTCAAAGCACCAGTTACACCAA